AGAGAGAGACAAAGGATGAGAGAAGAGAAACAATTCCAAGATAGAATCATTAACCAAAAAGGAAGTTTGAAAATCTCTCAGCTTATTCATATTGCACTTGATCTTAGCCAAAAGGCCGAGAAGCGATAGCTTATTCATATTAGAAAAAATAAAATAAGAAAACCTGTTCAAGAGAGAATAGAAGTATGCCCACGGATTGCTTGATAAGGGGATTAGTGCAAGTGGGGTGCTCCAGGGATCCAGATGCCACTCATCAAGATAACAGGCAGATTAGTCAGCCATCTACACAGAACCTGACACCTGCTGTCCAAGACAATGGAAGAAAGGCCCTAAAGTCACTTCTTAGGTCATGACCGTCTCCCTGGTGGGCCCACGGTGCCGGTGACAGGACAGAATGCCATCCCAGGAATGTCCGCTGCTGCCCCCACACCGTGGGCTCTGCTCCCCAAACCTTATTGCCACACTTTCAGCTGCACCTGGGGTGGCCTCCCCCGAGTCCCACACTGCAGGCTCCAGGCCAAGCAAAGCTGTGGGGGTGTGGCTGCCTCCACCTGGACTTCAGTGAATGCCTCAGAGATCTGGGGGCCCAGGGGCACCATGGGAAAGGGCTGGCCCGGAGTCCTCAGACCTGCACACCTGCCTCGGGATGTGATTCCACCCCGAGAGCGGCAGGAGGGCAGCTCCAATTTGTGAGGCGTGAGGTGTGCCCGTAAAGCCACTGGGCGGGACCTCTGCCCAAGGGGCCCAAGAGCAGAGCACGAAGCCAAGCAGGTTCCCTCAAGGCCTAAGGGTTGGGACTCATGTGAGGCCTGTCACTCCGTTCTCCTCTCCTGTGGCTCCTTTGGAACGGGAACAACTACCCTACACCTGTCCCGGCATCAGAGTTTGGAAGCGCGTAACACGTTGGATACTACAGCGCTCACAGCTGAAGCGCGATGTGCCGCAGAAGGAACCAGCCCTTGAATCTCATTTGTACCTGATTCTGATGATATTGAGATGAGATTTTGGCTTTAAAATGTGGATTTAGGGGCCAGGGAGATAGCTCAGTGGCATAAGTGCCTGCCTGGCAAGTGCAAGGTTTCAAGTTTGATCCCTGGTAACAACAACAAAAAAAAAGGTAGATTTCATACAGGCGTTAGTTAAGACCTTTGGCTCCTTGAGGGTGGAATGAATGTATTTTGCACTGAAGGGGACATGAATGTTTGAGGGCTAGGGACAGCTCCAGATGATTTGAATATGGCCATAATGGCTCTTGCCTGTGCTTAGGAATTATTCTCTATCACCTACTCCATTCTAAATAAAGAGTATAAGCTGGGCCTGGTGGTGCACACCTAGGGTGAGGCAAGAGGACTGCTATGAGTTCAAAGCCAGCCTGGGCTACACAGTGAGTTCAAGGCCAGCATGAACTACATGGTGAGACTCTGTCAAAAAAAAAAAAAAAAAAAAACGAGTATAAAGAAATTTTTTTCTTTTCTTTAGAAATGTCCAGAAACATGACTGGACTCACTTGATAATTCAAGTATCACAAAAAGTAGAGAAACTTGGCATGATGCTGTGTCAGAGGAAGTACACAGCGACATTTGTGACACATTGTGATATCAAAGAAGTGAACCTAAATCTACTTAAGGCTCTTGTTCAGGGCTATCAACAGCACTTTCTAAAGTGACCAGAAGGTTCAATGCACACACTGTCTTGTACCACAGCCACTAGGGATGTGTTACACGAGCTCTTGAAATACAGCAAGTGTTACCAGGGGTGGGGGGACACGCCTATAAGCCTAGCACTCTGCAGGAGGATCAAAAGCCTGAGCCTAGCCTGGGCAATTTAGCAACTTAGCAAGACCTTCACTTCACATAAAAATTTTTAAAAGGCTGGGAATGTAGCTAAGCACTGGCTCTAGGCTCCAACTCAGCACCACAAGAGAAAGAAAGGATGTCTATAGAATTGAATTTTAAATTTTCATTAACATTAGTTTAAAAACTGAAGCCATCTACCTTCTAGTAAACATGACTTTATTGTTGAAGCAGGGCAGCATTTCACCTTAACCACTTCCTCACACAGAAATTGAGAAATGCCAGGGGTGTAAAACACACTCCAGATTCTAA